GCTTATCCATGGTCCCAGGCCAGCCGAGAAACATAGTCCCTCCAGCTTGTCCTGGATCTCCCCCTGGGGTAAATGTTAAATATACATTAGTATATTTAACATTTGTACCCTGTGCAGGTTTTCTGATGATCGTATGCATGAATAGTTAATGGAGAATTTATCCTTCTCTGATTACCAGGTAGGCCTTTTGGTTGCTACCATTGCAACATTATACTATCTTCACTCTGTGCCCATGTGGGATGAAGCCCAGCTAAGCTTACATTGTGACATCTTTAATTCTCTGCGTCTAAGCACCATCTTAAAATCTAACTCCCTGCAAAAATCAATTTTTTTGCATTCAAACTGCATCTATGTGGTGCTATTTTAATGTTACTATGCATTTTTAATTTAACATGTCTTATCTTGGCAATGTTTGTCTAAGAACAGCCTCCCTCCTTTCAGATTGATTGAACAGTTGCTATTACAGCTATGTTTTGATTCAAAAGGTATTTCCCTATGCAGTTTGCTGCAATGTGTGTAGAGGAAACACCACCAGCATGTGTATGCAGGTGCTCTGTTATGATGAGACAAAAGTTGAACCTTCTGACAATCATGAAAAATTTTGGGTGGTGAAAAAAATGACATGGCAGATCCCCCTAAGCACTGTTCCCATGGTAAAGAACGGTGGTGGCAGCATCAAGGTATGGGGCTGTGTCTGTCTGAGAGAGCTGATATGGATTTAATTCCCCTTTATAATAATAGTTCTAACCTATCGCAATAGTTTGCTGCTAATATACCCATCTAAGGCAGTGAGGAGTCATCCTTCTCTCCGTTAAACTAAAGAGGAGCTCCTCTAATTTGAAAGGAGCTTATAGTAGAGGTGCTTCTCTCAATCCAGGACAACCGTTTTTAAAAGCAGTACATTTTTCAAACCTTTAGCCCAGTTTCATGATGCATTTAGTTAACATGAAAGCATAACCTTTATTTCTACAGGCTGCATCATGCTGTGGTATAACTGAATCTGTGGTACTTCCTTCCTCATTGGTGCTTTTAACCAATGTGGATTTTCCTTGTATTTAATTATGTCACTAATGACCAAACTTTCCATGTTCTGGTTCAGGTCCAGTCGGTGCGAGAGGTCCAGAGACCTGACAAGAAGCCCTTTTTGTTTGAAATCATTATGACGAATGGAAAGAGAAAGATGTTGGTGAGATGTCTGTGGTTTGAGTGGCTAGTTTTCATACTGAACGCTGACAATGAGAAATCTAAGCACCAGCCTGTGGTTGATATGCTGTTACATGTGTGTTAAAAGGCGGCAGAGACAGCATCGCTCAGAAAAGAATGGGTTGGATACCTCTGGCAGGCAATGCAGCTCTCTTCCTCTAGACTTTTGGACTCTAGAGACTCAGAGTAAGTCCAGCATTGTAGATAATTTACAGTTACTTCCAAATACTCATATCAACGTCCCATAAATTGTATTTTCGTTGTGATTGCGTCTGAAGGTCAAATACAAAGTTTTTCAGCAACAATACAATGAAAGTATTTATGGCTCTCATATTTCTTTTTACGATATTTTTTTTTTTTTATTCGATTATTGATCAGCCTATCAAAGTGATTTAATCTAAATTAAATCTAAATAAATAAAGCCAAAACAAGGCTTTGTTTTTGATCCACTCTATATAACGTCAAACTCAGTGCTAATTCTGAATTGAAATAGCTTCCTGGGAAGCGAAACGTCTTCAAAGTTGGAAACTAAATCCAGTGGATTATTTTTTATCTAATGCATAGGTTGTTTAGATGGATCATAGAACGCATTTATCACGGCCTTAGTAATACCCTCAGCTGTTATAACACCGGTACAGCTCTCTTTTACTCAATTCTCTGTCGTTATTTTTATTGACTGCATCGGTACTTGTTCTTTTTTAGATTCAGATATTTACCCCTTTGGTTTGTAACTCTGGGAAATTGTTTTTCTAGAGACAGACACAATTACTGATGCAGCACTTTAAATACACTCAATAAGCAAAGAGCAAGAAAAACAGGAACATGAAAGAACAAACTTTTAAATAGCTGTTAAAAAACTGTTCAAATAGGGCAGGAAGACAGTGTCGAGGTAGTGATAATGGTAATAACATTCTCTAGGTGAAATATTCGAGTGCATAAGATAAATATAGAGGTGTGTGTTAGAGGTGCTTGCTTTCCTGTAGGTTTTTGCTCTTATCTGAACCATTAGTACAAAATAAAGTCACATTCAGGTGTTAGAATTTAAAGATTTTTATTGTAAAGTAAAAAAAAAAAGCCTGGAAAGGTGTAAAGCAGGCATCCCCAAAGTCGGTCCTCGAGGGCCGCTGTCCTGCAGGTTTTAGAGGTTTCTCTGCTTTAGCACAGCTGATTCTGATGATTGCAGTTCAGCAAAAGCCTGTTAATCAGCTATCAATGAAAATCAGCTGTGCTGGAGCAAGGAAACCTAAAACCTGCAGGACAGCGGCCCTCGAGGACTGACTTTGGGGATGCCTGGTGTAAAGGGTTTTGTTGCTTTTTTTCCCCCTCAAAGTAGTGTGTTTTTTATGGACTGGGCTTTGAATAGACAGGCTGTTCTCTCCTACCTACTCAGTTTTTGTTCTCTGCTCCGCAGCCTTGAGATGACTGATGAGCGAGGGAGGGTAAACAGCGATGTGTCCGTCTCCGGGTGCAGTGACAGTGTGATGGAGGTGCAGTCAGCTCGACGTCTCTCCACCTCCTCAGACCACATCTACTCAGTGGCCGGGAGCCACACTTCGTCCGTTTGTCTCCCTGAGGACGAGGACAACGAGGAGGAGACATACCAGAACCTGCGAAGACCCCCGGAATACAACAATCCCACTGAAGATCCTGAGATCTCCATGCATGCGAGCTATGAAGAACAAGGACCGGAGTACCCCTATGATGTTTTACCAGCTAGAAAAAGTATGAATGTCCTTTAAATAACCCAGATGTTGTGAATATAAATTAGAGATGTGTGAAGCTGTCATTTTGGTCTTGCCTAACTTTAGGTAAATGTGAAGCCTCTCCAACAGAAACACAGGATGTTGTTTATGACTTCCCTTCATCTTATAGGAAGACAATTCAACAACAAGGTTACTTTAAAAAAAAAAAAAATCAGCTGATTATTTTTAACATAAACCTATTTGTTGAACATTTTGTGTTAAACCTTTATCTATTTCTAACCCATAAGATGCAGTCTATGATGTCCCAGCACATCTGTTGAGGAAGAAGAGTGATCACTCTGAAGGTAACCTCCATCTTTGTTCTTTTATCATTTAAAAAAAGCGCTGAGAAACCACAAGTGCATCAGCTGCAAAGATGTTCTAACTTCTGCTGTTTGCAGATGAGCAGCTAGAGGAAGGAACGTACTGGAGGATATGAAGAGGACAGGAGCCCGTGTTTTATTACTTCTCTCTACGGCTCACTTATGTCAGAACTAGATCTGTGGATAATCTTCTGTTTTAACTGTCATTGCAGTTTGAATGTGTGTAAAAAAAATCTGCCTGGATATAATCCGCAGAAGTTGGTTATTTCATAAGGGCCATTCCTGCATACCAATAATGTTTTCCAATATTGTTGGATTCACTTTTAAAGTCATGTGGACTCTGGTGACCCAGAGTTATGATGGGGAAGAAGGATTAGGTTGTGAAAAATATGGGTTGACCAAAGTCTGTATCACCATGACAATATTTAACAACAAGGTCATAACTTAATTTCTATCTGCTGTCATGCACCTATAGCCAGAAAGTACTACACAGAGGAAATATGGTTAGAGGTTTAGGTAGAAAGACATAGTTGTGTCCTGTGGTTTCAGACTGTGTTTGTTTTTAGGTTAAACATTCCTCTCCACTTTTAAAAAATACCCATGCACAACCCTGTACCCACTCCCGAAAGGGAACGCCTATTCCGCGTGGGAGAGCGTGCACAAACCCATTTCTCCTCTTACATGCTCTGTTTAAAAATTACTGTTTGCATCGATCATACAAGCGGACTTTCAAAAAGATTAGCAATTTCTCCCCTGTCAGACTCACCACCGGTAAGTGAAAATGGGGACGAGCACGTAAGACAGCCTTACCTAAACATATCACCAGAATGATTGACAATTAAGAGGACCACTTATTTAATCCATGAGCCTAAATTGCACTTTAAAGTATGAAATGAACGTTTTAAGGAAATATAGTTTTCAGAATCACAATATTGGCATCTAAGATAGGAACTGAATGACTATATTGGATTTAGACACTAAAAAAATCAATAATTAACCCATTAGCAGTTAGCCTTAATATATTTAGATTTTGAGCCAAACATAAAAAAATATTCTAAGCAGGAGGGGAAATGATGAGAACTGAGAAAGAGAATCACTGAAAAACAGATTTAACATGATCAGATTTTATTTTTTTTGCAGAATGTGAATTTTCTAAATATTTTTGTAACTCTGGGAAAAGAAGGAGGAATCTAAAAGAGGAGCTTTATGTTTGACAGATCCTTATGGGAGGAAAAAACCTTATCTGCTGTTTTGAAGATGCTCTGACGGCTCCAGTCGCTGTTATCTGGACTCTGTCAAAATCCTTGTTTGTCTGCTTCTAACATAGAGATCCACAACCTGCATGTCATGAGCTGCAGATCTCAATGGACTTCAGAAAGGTTCTAAAACCCTTGGCAGAAACTGGGATAGATCTCAGCACCGTGTTCAGATATAAAGAAGATTTAAAGTATATTTGTTTTATAACTGTAAAAATTGATCAAAAACTGTTTGGTCTTTAAACAACCATCTTTCATATTGATATTTCTTATTACTGAAAAATGTTTTGTTTTTTTTATGCTAAGTTTTAGCACCTCTTGGCACATTTTACCAGATGGGTGTTGTAAAGGTGGGACTGACCCCATGTACTAATAGGTCAACATCAAGGAGAAATTGTTAACACTGCATATCCCTTGTTGCAAGAACTGCTGTGGTGAAGAGAAGATACCCATTACTGGTCATAATGTTATGCCTAATAAGTCTAAAACTTTACCGGTATGAAGTTTGCTTATAATTTTGTATGACATTTATTATACTATTTTGTAACTAACAAACTATTTAAGTCGCGATGCATCTAGTCCCTCTGCACAGGATTAAAACCTTTGGAGATGTTGGCAAAAAACAACAAAAATAAAAAAAAAGTGAAAATCAATCCTGTGACCGAACTGTACAACCTGATATCTGCTTTTAAGATAGAAAGAAAATGATCATTGAACCTTTACGCGTTCTAAACTTAACATGTCTCAAACACCCACACACACAGTGTGGCTTAAATGAGTTTATTTTAACCAGAGTGAAAAACCACAAAAACATTTAGAACAGAAGACTATACAGAAATGTCCTTCACTCTATTCTCAACAACAGCAGAAGCAACTTATTTACACTTCAACAAGCTTACATTAATACACCAACAGTGATATGCTTCTATTACACATTTGGACAAGATTTCATGGGAATCCATCAGCTGTTAACTATTTTATAGTCTGAGATATAGCTGATAGTTTACACAGAGATAAGCTAAATGTTAGACATGAGAATTAATAAGAAGGGAATGTATTGAAGGTGACAGGCTGACCTATGGGACAAACCATGATAGAAAGTGAGCCATGCATCATTCTCAAAAGAAAAATGTCAGTTAAACAGCTTAGAAGGAGACTTTAAATATGCAGAACCTCTCTCTCTCCCTTAGAGTAGTCAGTTCTTTTTAGTGGCAATATTACTATTAGTGATATTTATCTATAGGGTTTGATTATACACACACTTAATGCTCTATTTTAATTTTTAAATTCATTTTTACTTCTTTCCAAATGCCTAACTTTCCTTCCACCGATCCAAACTGATCCTGCAGCAACAGCAGCATCATCTTCATAGTTAATAAATTAATTACCGTATTAGCTGCTATTTATAGTGCATTTTTTATATAACTTATTAAACCTGGAGCTTTAGCTGTAGTGTTAGGCCAGAGTTTGTTCACTAAGGAACTCATCCAGAACGGCGATGATGTTGCAGGCCTCCGGCAGGTCGCTGTGCTCCGCCCGGGCGTTTTGCAGCAGCACATCCCCGTTCCCGCAGCCCTGAAGGAACTGGCAGCAGCGGAACAAGGCGTAGTGACTCATCTCTGCCTGACGCACGAAGCGCTTCAAGCTGTTCATGTCCTGGATGGCCTGCAGAGTGGAGGAGATGGTTCAGACAGAGGAAGTTACAAGCGGGAGAAAAAAAAAGTTGTTGAAAAATAATTTAAAAAAGGCAGGAAATTATTCATGTTAATAGGAAGTAATAATATAGAAGCTGTGCAGACGAGGAACTGAAAGCCCTGATATACAGTTTCTTGAGGCTGCTAAATGTTGGACATTAATATGTTTCTTTAAATATAATAATGAAGCAGCATTTTCTCTAAAACAGCAGCTCTAAGAAGTGTTCATAATGCTTCACTTTTTATTGGAATTATATAATATTAACCGACATAAAGTAGTGTATAGTTGTGAGGTCAAAAGGATGACTTATTATGATTTTCTATGTTTTTGTTTAATTTTGATTTTAAGAAATATAGATCTTGGGAGAATAGAGAAGACAATCACAGGCTAAGCTGGAAAAAGTTTAGTTTAGGCAGCTGGATGTGAAGTTTTCTGGAAGACGTTTCGCCTCTCATCCATGAGGCTTCTTCAGTTCTAATTAGTGGAGGGGAGAACTAAGATTAATATACTGTAGGTGTTACAAAGAATTAGGGAAAAAAAACAAAACACATAAGGTGGAAATAACTTGGGGAATAATCCCAGGTTATTTCTGCTCATTGTGCATGTCCACCCTCTGCATGTGTCGGTCCTCTCTGAGAACTTTGGCTTCCACAGTTATGAAGAGTCCAAAAACACGACTCTTCTACATTTTCTTTACATGTGAATGTTTGTATCCATTGCTGTTTGCCCTATGATGGCCTTACAGCCTGTGCTGGATATGCTGGGGTTAGTTTGACATAACTAATGCCTTGATGTCTTTTCCACATTTTACTGTACATGTATCGATAACTTTTCACCTTTTTCTGTTTTTGTTGGCCTTTCACACAAAATCCGATTAAAAACAAAGAGGTTTTTGGTTGTAAAGTGACCAAGATGGGGAAAAGTTCCTGAGGTTTGAGCACTTTACAAAGCAGCGGAGAAGACTGAGAAACTCATCATCAAAGTATCGGATTTCAAACTCTCAGTATAAACATTTCTCACCTTGAGTTTAAAGTTCTCCAGAATCTGTCTGAGGAGGAACGGATTGCAGCGCTCTGCAGCGTTTAGAAATGCTTGGATCCAGCTGTCGCAGAAACGGTTACTCACTGAGGGAAAAACAAAAAACCTTAATTAAAAAAAAAACCTTAATCCTTTAAACATGTGGATGTAATATATATCTGAACAACGTGTCTGGATTAAAGTATTCATCTTCAATTTTGTTAATTATTTACGCTGAGATAAAGATTGCACATACATGTATGCAACATACATGGTTTGATTCTTGTAAGCAGCATCCAGTCTTAGCTCTGGACACTTATGCTCGTGAATAAATGACGGATACAGGCCGCATCCCCAAGTTAACATGACAAAAAACGTGCTTTTGATCAGTGGTTATATAAACCTCGCTTAACGCGACTCACCAGTGTTGGTGAGCGTGGGCGGGCTGCTGGAGCAGTCGATGATCAGGTCTGACTGCGTGTCCTCTGACATGGCTTTGCACAGAGAGGCTGAGGTGGTGTCCTGCTGGGACAGGCCCTGCAAACTGGCTGCTTTGATGAACCTGACACAGACAGGCAGCTGTTAAACAGGCATTTAGACAGGTGGTGCTTTTACTGTGAGCGCTGTCATGGAGCACACCTGGAAACATCTGCCTTTGTCCTCTCGTCTGAATTGATGACTTCCACGTGTGTGTGACTTAGAGCCTGCAGGAAGGAAGTTTAGCAGCTGAAATGTGTTGCTCTGGAAAACTTGCAGAGACTGAAACTACTTCAGGAGGCATAAATAAACAGACATTTAAAGCCGCAGTGCAGCAGTTGGTAAAATTATCCAGAATTTGCAAGTTATGACAGACTAGCATCAAAAATACCATAAGGGAAAAAATAATTCAATGGATCTATATCTAAATAAAACAGAAGACTGCAGAAAATCTGTCTACATAATTACATGTTAGTTTGGAAAAATAAACATTCGAGTTACAGAGATTTAGTTTTACATTGACTTTAGTTTTAAATTTAAATTTAATTGTATTTATTGCGATTCCCCTCTAACTTGCAGACAACATACATTTTTTTTATTTGAGATGGAAAGCATAAAATACCTAAAAATTAAATGCTCAAATTAAAAGATTACCAAAAATTTTATTTACTATATAATCACTTATTGTACGTTCCACTTTTGGACAGTCATCAATACTTTTGACTGAGGGGGGAACTCATGGTAAAAAGGACTGCCCAAAGGGGTACACAAGTCAAATAAGGTTTAGAAACAGTTTTAGGGAACAAAACTAAAAAGACTTACAATTTGTTGTATCATGAGAAACTTCATGCTCACAAACAAAGCTGGCAATGTTAGCAAAAGGGTTTTTTGTACAGATGTTTTTTTATAATTGACATTTAGTTTTATATCTCAACCAATTTCCCTGCAGAGTCCTTTATCTGAGTTGACATAAGCAGCCATACGTCCATTCAACTGATTTCAGTTAGAAAACAATCAGCCATCTTTTTAAAACAACAGACCTTCTCTGTTGTTCCAGGTGTTGCTTTATATACTTTATATGCTTTATATGTCAGAAAACTGCCTTTTAAAATGGATTTGGAAAAACCTAAAATTTAATTTTAGATTTTCAAGATTTTTATGCTTTAAGGCTAAAATACGACAGCTGCTTTTTAAGGAAAAGTCAGGGGGAAATAAGTCCCCTAAACCTTACGTGTTTGTCAAAAATGTTTAAAATCATTCATACTTTAAATGACTACATAAAAAAACAGACTCACGGCATGAAGTAAAAAGCTGATGTTGCTCTGGACCAGCTGCACTACTCGATGAATGTGCATGACTGACTCCTCGTACCAGCGGCTCAGGTAGGGACGTACCTCCGTCTCAAGGTTCTGCAGCTAATCACATACAGAAGCACACACACAGTATTATGCTTGGAAGCAGAGATCTTAAAATAAACTTAGAAATCTTTATATTGTGGGGGTGTCTTACCTCTGGAGTTTGGAGGCTGCTGTGAAGGCCTTGGACGTATTTATCCAGCTCTAATCTAAATGTGGTTTCTGTCAAAGAATTTACTGCAATTCCAAAGAATCGCTGCAATGCAAAAACATAAGGATGCTGGCCTATATGAACACATCAAAATCGTACATTCATGCTATAAACTTTGCCTATCCAATGAAAGAAACAGGATATAAGTTCAGTCCCTTTTCAGAGCCCCCCATAAAGCAGATGACGTATCCATTCCCATCCGCATCCGGCTGCTCAGGAGACCGTTCTTGCTCCAGGAGACAGCAGTAGCATCCAACCGCCTGCTCTGGAAGACTGCAAAGAAAAGGAAGCAGTTTGCATCCTCTTTAGTCCCAACAAATCCTAACTATTCATATGGATATTTTGTCGTGATACAACCACAAACTTTCATTTATTCTATTATTATTAAAAAAGTGATAGAAGCATAAGAATCTTTACCAGTTGGGTGTTTTTATATAGTTTAGGGTGTTTTTATATAGTTTCCACATTTTGCAAAATGTCTCTGATCTTTTCTCCATCAGCTTTAAACATTTAGAGGCTTTGTGCAACACAGCTCAAGCTCAGTCAGTCAGTCTGGTTGGAAAGTAGGGCTGCATGTATCAATAAATATGATCATAACACGAAATATAAATATAACACACCTGTTTTCTATTTTTCCTTATAGAACAGCTGTTTATTCTGAACATATTTGGCACTTTGATCTGTTTTAGCTGTCGGCAAGGCTTCCATTCACTTGCAATATTGTATCACATTACAAATAGTACTGTTTGATATTAATGCAATGTAGTGACATTTTTATGATTAAAAATCATTGTTTTGTTTTACATATCTTCTGATACTGCATACATCAGTAAAACTTAAGCTTTAATGTAGTGAATAAGGAGTAGGGATATGTTTGTGTGTCATCTGTGCTTATATCTGACAGGAACTAAAAGAGATGGTTGTATTTGTTAACATTTATCACGTTTGGAACCAAATCTGAACTGGAAAAAAAAAGGCTGAGACATTCTAACACTTAAATTTGCTTTGTGTTATATCCTGTCATTGCAGCTCTGTTTGGATGTTTAGGGTCATTGTATTAAGTGCAACATAAAACTGGCTAAAACCTTTTTGAGTTTTAGTCGACTAAAACGATCACATATCGTAATGATTAAAATGTGACTAAAACTGATAATAGTTTTCGCCCTGAAGACGAAAACTAAGACTAAATCTAAGATGGCTGTCAAAAAACAAAACTGCACCCTGCAAAAAACAAGTGTAGCCTATTTAATAAATAAGTGAAGTGATTGGTTGTATAGAATTTTACTTAGGAGTATGGAGAAAAACCCTTTAAGCTAAAACAATAACACTTTTTCCATTTGTAACAAATTCCCTGAATCAAATAGATAATGAATCAGAATTTTCAAGGTGGAGAAATTAACATGTAATTATGAGTCTGTAAACAAGCTAATAAGTTTGTGACAAGCAGCTCATTTAGATGTTTTCTTTTGTAAATACAAAATATACAATTTATTTTACAATTAATGCATTGATATTTTGTGATTTATTCTGAATAAATAAACCGATGTAATTTGGGAGAAAACATTGAAAGCTGCTGTGCCCGAGTCTCCTTTTATTTCATCTGTGTTTCAGGATAATTAAAATTTGTTACTACGTTCCTACTTTGGACCTGTAAAATAAATATTTTTGTGCAGATTTTTTTAAACAGCGTATCCCATCAGCTGCTTTCCAAAATAATACAGATGCACTTTTTTTTCTGTGTGCCAGATATCTCCCATAGCTAAATCCCACATGCCGTTTGTAGATTTTAAAGTTCACATACATGGAGTGCCTTATAAAAGTTGCATCCAACTTTTGTTAAAGTTGAAGATGGAGTTAAATGATTTATTTGTCTTGGAAGGTATGGTTGCAAACACATGCTGCACTTTCCATTTTTTTCATTGAAAAATAGGAGTAATATCTTCACTTTAAAAATGTTTGTTTGTCTATCTCATAAAATCACAGTAAGATTTATGGTTTTAATGCTACAAAATAAAAATGAAAAAAGATTCAAAGTGAGTGTATACTTGTTCTGGGTTACTTCATTGATCAGATGATACCTCAGTTCCACAGTGGCAATGTTGCCCATGCCTCCAAGAAGAGCTCCTTTACTCAGTCTCCTTGAAATGTATGTCCGCAGCTCTGGTTCTGCTTCTGATGGCAGGCTGCTGTCAATTAGTGTCAAGCTGTTGGAAATAAAACATAGAAAAACCAAAACAAAAAAAGAAATCAGAAAAGAGGACATAAAGATTCAGACAGCCAGGAAAGAAGATGAAGAATCGATGGAGAAAAGATGGAGAAAGCAGGATGATCACCACTATTTGCAGACAGAGTTATCATTCCTGAACAGACTCTGTTCAGATGAAGACCCAGTGTAAATCAGCAACACACTGATGAGAAATCAGAACAAAATCATGAGTGGAGTCAGCTATGATGAATCCATGCTGACTGGATTTCCAGTGATAGGCCAAAGCAAAAACAGTGACAGCCGCTGAGAAAGCGAGAAGAAGGTAGACGGATGGCTCCATTGTTACCTAAAGTCATCGTGGCTTGTTGTGGAGTCTGCACGTCTCTGGTTCCACGCCACATTTTCTTCACTGGCCTCAGATCTAAGACGATCAACAGTTGACTAATGACTTTATTACATTTTAAGCATTATTGGCCTTTATCTGGATGAAGACAACTGCTGCACAATAAACCCTGCTTTTTGGGGCTAGAGAGAAAGCACAAAAACACACCTATATGTGCACAATAATAAACACCCACATTTCGGCCCAAAGCAGCAACTGTAGCTGTTTATATCTGATGGTACCTTGTGCCCTGATAGAGATAGATGGTGTAGTAGCAGTTCAGTTGGATTTTCTGACTATATCCAGCAATGTCGTCGCTGTCAAATTCATCTTTCTCCTCCACGTCGATTGAATCCTGGAAGGACGAAGTCTGGGAGGAAAACATCCTGCTGCTGAGCAGAGGGACAGGTCAGCGGGGACGGCCTGATATAAGGAAACGATTTATGTTGGTTTCATTTACCTCCTGTTGTTAATGTGTGTTTTAAATTGATGACAACTGGAAAAAAGGAAAGGAAAATTACAGGAAGAGACAGTTTTCCTGGCTGGACCCAAACTGTGCGTTCTGAAATGTGTCCGTTGAAAATAAAAATCTCCCACAATGGTTCCGGGAAATGGAAGGCGTTATATTTTATGACGTTCACAAAACGTCACAAAACTCTCATCTCATTACTCTCATTTTTATTTTTAAATCAGTTTCCAGACTACCTATCTGATTAAGGGTTAAAATACTGAAATGGTAATTCTATTGGGGTACTGTAACATTCATGCCAACATTGAAGGTGATCAATGGCGTAACGACACACAACAAACCATCTTAGCTCTGAATTACAGATAATTCCACGTACTGTTGTAAAAAATAAAATACTCAAATACATCATCCTTTTAAGATCTTTATTGTGATTTGAAACATATATGAGTGTATTTTTATTCAACCGTCTAATTAACAATACACAGTTATTATCATAGTAATTAAAAGTGCTTTGCTATTGGTGTCGTGTTTAAACTGCTCACCATCATATTGAAATCTGCCATGTGTTGGGGTATAAATAAGGTCCAGTCAGGTTTATTGGTATCATGTGGGAATAAGAGGAACTTTTTGCACCATTGCATCTGCAAAGAGACGTCCTAGTCCACAATTGCGTAGGGGGCCAACCAGGTGTCAGTGACGGGCCCCTAAGAGGTTGTGGGCCCCTAAGCAATTGCAGTCTCTGCTTGATAGTTACGCCATTGAATGTGACAGAATAAATACAGTATGCAGCCTTTCAATAATTATAATTTATTTAGTATAACTTGTTCCAAATGTAGACAGACATACACACATTTCTTCATAAATTTTGTTAGCTTTTCACAGCTTTAAAGATGTTTCTAGTTTTCTACAAACTTATGTTAACATGACATTAATAAGAGCAATGTCATTGATGACCTTTGTTGAAAATCAGAAAGATTTATTTAGGTTTACAGAAAATATAAATAGCTCCGGGGCCATAGAATCTGCACAATTATTGCTTCAAGTTGTGTGCTAAACCCAGAAAAGTTCCAGTGAGATCCATAGCCAGGACTATTGGTACAGTGCAATGCCGGACGAGGCCTTGCTGAATCGTATGCATTTAGCGTTGTGTGTTTTTTATTGTATAATGTCTTCAGGGCAACTGTTACACTCTCCTAGAGTTACTCCAATTATTACATTTCCAACTAGTTTGTTAAGATATTCATATTTCCAGAAAACTATACAATTATTTCTTCAGCTATACTTAATCGACATGCTTGCATTCTTTATCCTTAGGACGTTGTGCTTACTACGGTAATAGCATTTTCTCACAACCCTGTCCTATCTGGACACTTGTTTTTAACCAAATTAACAGAGTTCTCCCCCCCAAAAGATTTCAATGTCATTGTCATGCTGAAAAAATTTGAAGAATCTGTTTCTCTTTCTATCTCTTCTGTATCACAGAAAAAAAGCTGCAAAAGGACAGCTATTTCATGTATTTGATTTTGTTGACAGGATTACTTCCTCACAGTGTGTTCCATTAGACACGTCACCCCTGAAAAAGAAGGACAGGCTCCCTGGTTTATTTTAGTGCTGCTTAGTTTGAAGCATGAGGCTAGGCAAGTTTATTTATATAAAAAAGTTCAGTGCTAACACAATTAAAAGTGCTTTACACGAATTAAACAATAAATAGAAGGAGAATAAAAACAACTCCAGATAAAAGCATAAATTTGTATAATTACCTCATTATTGGAAGTGAATAAAAACAATTCTAAATTTCTTTTGATTGAAGTTTCCAAACTCAGACAGACCAAATCTGGTTTTAGAGCTCATCATAGCACTAAAACTGTTCTTTTTGGATGTGTTCCTATCCTCAGATAATGGGCTTGTATCTCTACCTATCCTGATAGATCTGCTGCATTTATGTACAGTCAATCATAATATTATTTTAAAAAAGCTTATAAAATGTTGTAGTATTTTTGTGTCTCATTTCAGACAAGACAGAAGTTATTGTCTTTGGATTTAATGTCAATACCTGTCAATAATTTCTAGAATTCCATTCTTTTATCCTCAGAAATTTGAAACAATTAGAAGCACCTTGTCCAGGACCGACACTGAAAAAGTTGTCAATGCATTTGTTTCTTTTATGCTGGTTAATTCTTTAAAACCTGTAATTAAAAAATTCCAGCCGATTCAAACCGCTGCAGCAAGAGTTCTGAGAAAAAACAAAAAGAAAGATCACATTTCTCCTATTTTAGCTTCCATTTATTGGCTCCCTGTTAAATCCAAAATTCTCCTAACATATAAAACCCTAAATAACCATCTTGCATCAATCTGATATAAGATTGTTGCTTATGTTACTAATAAAGCACTTTGCTCATAATCTGCATGTTTTATATACATTTTGTTGTGAAATAAGGGCCTTTAAAAAGTTGTACTTAATCATATCCTTTAAGAAATTATTTATGTATTTTTTGAAATATGCTGCTGCTTTCTTCATATAAGAAAAAGACAGCTTGGTGCTTCCTCCATTAGTCGGGGAGGGTACATTTAATATCACAATGATAACAAAATGCACTTTTGATTTTCACTGATTAATTTTCCTTGTTTATTTCTCCTGCTATACTTAGTGTCTAACTATGGTATCAAATATATTAACATGTATTTTCTGCAGGACTAATAAATTGTTTCAGATTAAAAAGCTTAAGACTTTTGGGCAGCCGGACTGTTGCAAGATTGTAGGTGTCAAGTTTATTAAACCTGAAAATACAGACAAAAAAAATGTTTATCAGCCGATTAAAAGCCAAATATTGTCTCGTAAATGTCTAACATAGAAATTGTGTAAACAATTTGCTTAATTAGGTCAATGATCTGCCTTAGCAAAGGTTATTAAACTGCCTGACTTTGTCCAACCTCAGCAGTCATTATTACATTAATACATTTTCTAAAAAACTAAGCAAATGTTGGTTGAAGGCTACATTTTCCCATTTAAACAAGCAAAATATTCAGGCAAATTGAAATATTTAGCACATAAATTATATTCTACAAGTAAACCAGCAGATGGAGACAAAAGGCTGCTCAGATTAATATGAAAAAAACTTTTAGTACTATTTCTGCCATTGTAATGGAATGCACTGTCTTAAATTTGCTGTTCTGTTGCACAGTTACAGTAATCAGTTCAGCTTTGCCTACCTAAACATTTTAGCTGCACTCTTTTATTTCTGAGAGCAGAGGAGAGCAACCTTTAATAAGTAACAATAATTATCCTTTTTTAGATTTAGAATGACGTAATTTTATCAAACTTTTGATGACGACCCACCTATGGATGTTCTTCACTAAGCATTGCTAATAATGCCTTCATACGTAGTGTGCATATAGTTCTGCTTTGAGCTAAATGTTGAGGTATTTTTTATTACTGAACTACCATCATTAAGGCTGCCAGTAAGAGTTACTGATTTCCTTTGTTTAATTTAAAGGATATGTATCAAGTAGTATTTGTTTTAATTCAGGTTTTCTTACAAGCTCTGTTGTTTACTTAAGGTAGCTTTTAATAAGTCAAAAGAGCTTTCTAAATTCTATGTTGGCAATTCTGCCATTTTGGTGCTCTTGTACTTAAAGCATCAAATTATTTTTCCAGAAATGCTTACATTAATCTGTGGTTGAAATACAAATGAGTGCCTTGTACTTAATGCTGACTAAACATATCATATACGGCTGGATAACTAGAGGGTGCAGATCAGCCTTCCCTCTGTGCCACGGTGTTAGTATAACTGTTTCTATTGTTAGGAGTCATAATGAGTTTAAACTCCATTAAACATCAGTGCCCCCACATTTGCAGTGAGTTTGAAAGTCTGTCTGTGTTCTTTCAGCCAATTTGACCAGATTTTCATTGGTTATTCTTCATAACCGCATTAAAGTGGCATCTTAGGGTACAAAGCAAAATTATATAAAAAAAAAAAAACTAAGCTCCAATATTTAGCCACCGTTGTAATTTTCTAAGTCCTCTTTTTTTTTTTTAAGAAAACCATACATGACTCTATAGTAAAACACTTCCTATTGATTGCTTTTAATATCTAGAGGCCTGAAATAATATTTTTTCATCATTATCTTTTCATTAAACCACTTTGATAAAACAAGTAAAAAATGTGTCAAAATCAATTAATTAACCATCATATAATCAGTTTGCAGTGTTTTTTTTTAGCCTTAATACATTAGTTTAGATTTGTTGTGCTTCTATCTATAACATAGCAAAATGTCCTCACTTTGCAACAACTGGTCCTCAATTTGATAATAAAATGAGAAAAAATGGTCCTCACTCTGAGGGCTAGACAGGTACACACACACCAACACTTACACAAATACACCGTTCCCTAAGTGTTATCTCACATCGTTCTTCTCTCTCTTTATGCCCCTCTCTTTCTTTCCCACTCTTGTTGAATTAAGTGCTTTTCAACTGTTAATATGTTGTTTTTCATATACACTATGTGATTGTTGCCATTGATATCTGAGCATAAAATGAGGAATTCAGTATTTCAATTTTGTATGGACATTCAGCTCCAGTGCCTCACTGACTTGAATTAAGCACATTCTAACTTTTACTGTGTTTCTTTTCAACATACAGTAATGTGATTGTTAATCTATTTTACAAATAAAAACCGGTTAATTAAAATTTATTTATGTTGATGGAATTAATTACCTTATCAACTGACATTAACATAAATATTGACTGTAAAATGGGTTTAGTGAAAAACAGACATTTGGGAAAAAAATGACTTGAATTGCTTGACTAAACCTATGCTTGGACTTGCATTTCTTGATCCTCCTTCCAGATGCTTTGGGACTTGCTTTAGACGTCAGTGCTGATACTTCGGACTTACTTGAGACTTGAAAGTATGGGACTTACTCCCATCTCTGCAACTCCATCCCTCCATCGATTAGCAGTGCCTACACCATGCTCAAGGCAATCCAAACTGTTTTCATGTGTTGTTTCAAGATGGCAGCATCCCTATCTTCAGGAAACTCCTAAAGACCCACCTCTTCAAAGAGCATTTCCTATCCTAATGCTATGTTCAGACCACAAGCGCTGGAAGCAGCAAAAAAGCTTCTGCTGCTTCAGTTTTGATGCTTGTACACAGTAAGGTGTGACACGCGTCAAGTGCATCTTTGAGGCTCCTGAGGCGCCTCCAGGAAAGTGTGACCAGTAAAGTATGTCCAGAAGCGTCCGATGGTCCTGCTGCTCCTGCTGCTCCTGTGTTTAATGGCAGATAGAGGGTTTGCTATATTTCCTGTTACAAATAGGTAAAAAGTAGTTTTAATGTTTTTAAGTGAGAAAGTTTACCTGAAAACATCATCAGTTCAGTCAATTCGTCAAGATTAGAATCCTGCCTTCAAATATCATTTTGCTGTCGGAGCCACTCAGAACCCGTACACCGGCGTTGGTCTGTCACTGAAAATCCCGTTTAGCGGCAGCCTCAGGTCCGGTCGCCTCTTAAGAGTTTACCACTACATTTTCCCGGCAGCTGGAAGGTGTTTTTCAAATACGTAATCCAAACTGCAGGCACCAAAATAATAAAAGCAAACATATTTTGCCAGAACATTTGTACATTTTAAGTTAATTTAGGCGTTAATGAACTTTTCCATAGGAGTGATCATAGCGATCTGCATCAGCAGCGCAATGTCCTTCTCTCTGCCAGCCTTCAGATCAGCTTCTCTGAATGGTTGATGTGGCGCATGGAGCAGCAAAAGTTCAATGATTCCAACTCCAGCAACTGCTACTTGTGCAGTATGTCAAGTGCCTCAGATGCTCTGAAGCTCATGAGGCGCTGAATGTAGCATAACTCTTACCCATAGCTCTGTACCCCTCTACTACTTTTTCTGCACCTTTCCTGTATCTCTTTGCTGTCACCATTGATTCTAACTAGGGATTTTTCACTAGAGAACTTATTGTCATATTGATGATAACTGTAATGTTGTGTTTAATTTGCAAGTCACTTTGGATAAAAGCGTCTTCTAAATGCATAAACATAAACATACATGCTTGGTGTGAGGGATTGCCTTCGAGTCAATGACTAGATGCAATCACCTTGTTTTGTTATCTGGTTGAATTATCTCTGTAAATTGCATTGAGATGACATGTGAATTGGCGCTATATAAATTAAATTAATTGAATTGAATTTGGTTGATGGAGGATTGCCTCAAGGTTTAGCCACGCCGCAACCTGCTGTCTGCAGTAAAGGGTTACTACAGATTTCTGGGTTTAAGCGTTTTTGATGCCCCTGATGCCTCTAGTGTAAACGCAGCATAAGAGTTGTGACGAATAATTTCTGTGTAAATTAAAGTTTGTACTCTGGCTTTGTAGTCAGTAGCTTCCACACTACAAAAATGATGACAAACTACTTATTCTTAAAAAATAGCATTTATTACAATTACAACAATGAAGCATCTAAAACTTGCTGAACAGAACAAGAACACCTAAAAATCTATGTATTAAGAGAGATATGCAATTACCGGTACTTAAGGCAAAGGATCTTTTAAACCCCAGCTAATATCATGTAGTCATGTTTATCTTATTGACTTGGCTAGAAGAGCAAAGGAAGGGTTACAAAATGGTGGATTTTTGTGAAAAACATGTTATATTGCAACATCATGCTCAAAATAAAAAAATAGGAAGAGCAGGTAATACTGTATATATTTGAATCTCTTGATAGGTATTTCTAGTTCACATGAAAACAAATGTGCAAAAGGACAAGTTATGCACAATAGGACTTTTTAGGATAAAAAAATGTACCGTAAGATCCAGTGAAATCAATAGTAAAAGTACATATGAAAAGAGATAAAATGAATAAAAAAATAAATACTTTAACTCTATCAGCATGTTTGCAAGAGCTGCTCAGTTAAAAGCTTAAGGCTAATCTGGACTGTTTGGTGCAATTTCACTTTGCTTAAAAGAGCTTTTAACTTTTATTATCTAGAACATTCCTACACAACCGGTCTCTTTTTGTGGAGGACCCTCGCTGAGTAATATTTAAGTAAAAAAGTATGTTTTAGAAAATTATAAATGCACAAACTTTTTTATTTTTGTTTTAAAGTCATAAAAGAAAATGCATTCTATAAGATAAAACATTCAAAATCTGGAAAACAAAATCATGAACAAGGCTGTTCTGCTAAACTTGTCAACTGTTGTGCTCACATTGATTCAGTCTGGTAAAAAATGTATAATAAAGAACGTATGCATTCATTTTTGATGCATTTTGATGAAGATGATTTAAGATAACATAACCTCTGTTATTACTACTATTAATACAGTTATTTCATCACCTGAATGTCAAAAGCAACTACGCCATCAAATGAAAAGCCTAAGTAGAATGTAACTTTTTCATTACCGTACGGTAAGGAAGCAGAGTAGCGAGGGATGACCCTAATTTTCCTGTCTCTATGCCCACATTGGACATACAGGTTTTCATTTTCTGTCCACCCTTCAATCCGCTTCAGTTGCTGCACAATTTGTTTGGTTTTCCAAACTTCCCCTCCGAGCCATTTTAGCTTCCTCTCACTCAGAGTTCCTTTGATGTGCTTCTCAATAGCACTTCTATGGATAATCTTGTTTAGACCTCTTGCCTTTGCCAAAAAGAAGTGTGTGACAATTCTACTTTTTCTCTGAGACATGTGTTGGATTTTTTGTTCACAGAGTCTCTGAAGAGCATCGATGGCCAATAGAAGAATCTGGGAATCGGCTGCACTCACTTCTTCTGTGTTCTCAGGCCAAAACAGGAGGGAGAGAAGGAAGAGGGCACTGGCTGATGACATGTATTTTCCTTTGGTCTTAAATCCTTTGCTGAGATCATGCAGCTGTTTGAGGGATAGGAGCTTTGAAGAGCCAGGAAGGATACAGTTAAGAGCTATCTGGCAAAAAATAACATTTGTGAGCTCTGTCTCATCCAGACCTCTCCACCTCTCCATGTCATTTTCTGGATACATGTCCATAATTTCCTCAAGGTTTTTTCCTGCCCTCCTTCTGTCATTGTCATAGAGTAATTTAAGGATTGATGTAACGTTACCTCCTCCAAGCTTGTAGGTCCTCATCTGTCTTTGGAAAGGTGAAAGCATGCTTCCAGAATTTGCATAACTTGCTGTATCTCTCTCCTCTTGCATGCCACAAAAGAATCCTGCATAAACAGCACTTTTTCTTTTCAACCAATCCCTTGGATTGTAAACTTGTTCTGGATCTCTTGCATCAAGTTCCTCTTCCTCTTCACTAATATCAGTCTGAAAGTAACTTAGGTCTTCGGAAATGCACTCCAGAGCTTGCCTCAAGCTCCTCTCCAACCCTTTCAATTGTTGATGAAACTTCTGCCAGGGTACTTTGACTTCCTCTGGTATGTAGTCTTCAAGCAAGTACTTCATTAGCTCTGAGTATCCAGTAGTTTTTGAAAAAACATCAACTTCTGACAAGAACTTCAACAGTCTGCAGCCAACATCCACTTCTCCATAGTATGAGCTGTTAAGGTTAACCGTCTCTTTCTTTGGTGTTTTTTCAGAGGCTCTAAAAGCAGATACTCCTTTTAAGGCAATGCTTATGATTTCAACTGCCCTTTCTGGGGAGGGCTCTTTTTCTTCAAGTGTATCATACAAGTGGTAAAACCACCGCTTGTAAACTTGACCCAGTGTGTCAAGAATGAACATGTCATGTGGTGACAGAGATTTTGCTTCCTGTGCCCACTGAAGAGCCTCCTCAAATCTCTCATTAGTGTAAAGCAGTCGGGCAAGCTGCTGTGCCACATAAGCATCTTTTCCCAAAGCCATGAATGCAGCTTTCATCAGGTCAACAGCTTTTTGAACACCACCTCTTTCAGTGCTGACTTTCTCAATAAGTGGTGAAAAAATAGTGTCCTCTGGATCTCCCCTGCTTTTCTTATTGCGTCTAATGAAGAGAGCCATTATAACCTTTAGAAACTGATCTCTGTCAAACCTGTGATTGATCAGTACATCATTGCTGATGAGTTCTGCGACAATAGAGCTTTGAGGGAAATTAACAGAGAGCTGACTCAGAATTTCTTTGGCAACTAGAGGATGAATGATTCGGATCAACTCAATGTGTGTTGAACTATCTCTAAGGTGGATGAAAATTAATTTAGCTTCATCACTAAGGTGATCAACAAAGGCATGGTACCGAGTTCCAACCTGGTGCAGAGCAATACCAAGATATGCCTCACAATGAGAGATTGATATGTAAGAGTCTTTTACGTAACAATTTAGTAGAGCCACAAATCTAATGAGGCGAGTGGTAAGTGATGTATGATCAATGTTATCTAAAATATTTTTAACAAAGTCCTCTATGTAGGTTGGTTGAAATTCTTTACTCATGAGAACAAATGTTAGAATGAATTTAAAGTCTAAGTCCTCAAACTGGAATTTAAGTTGTTCACTTTTCTCCAGGAACAAAGATTTTTCTTTATCTGTTAGTTTGTGTGTGACTGACACTGTTTGAGATGGTGATGCCCTGCACATTCTCTCTGGATCATTTGATCGATTGCAGATGAGCAGTATGAAGCACAACACTGAAGGATTTATCTTTTTGATTGCGATGACATTTCCAAGACTCCGCCGAAGATTATCAATGTAATCTGGATTTTCGTCCTCCAGCAGGAGGAGCACAGGGAGACAGTTGTTTTTGTCATTCTCCTTATGTTCCCTCAGTTTCACTGCATGCTCACAGACAGTAGTGGCTTCTTTTGACTGTTTCACAACTGCACATCGTACTTTTGTCCTCCTACTCCAGAGCATTTGTCGTGCCACTGTGCTTCCCCCACTGCCAGGATGATGATATATGTTCAAACTTTCTACTGGCCGTACGGCTTTGGGACGATGTACTATAACATCAAGGATTGAGCTTGCATCTTTATATGCATCCCGCTCAATGACGTCTCCACACTTATGCTTATCAGCAAGCCAAAAGTTAATCCAGTTAATTTTTCCACCACGATAGAAGTAGAGTTCAGTTTCCTTGATGTCATCATCACTCATGATTTCTAGGTTGGTATCATCACACTGGTCTACGCTGATGATTTCTAATGAATCTAGCATTGCCTCGTCACCAGATTTTAGGAAACACAAACCGCCGTTGGAGACTGGTAGTTTCCTTTCTGGTTGGTTTTTTAAAAGCTGAATGCTTTGAACTGTTGCATCCACGTGACTCAGGGGCATGTCGACAATACTGATTTCTTTGAGAGCAGAGATGGGACAAGAGACCTGAGCAAGACTTGACCATTTTTTGTAGTTTTCCTTTGACTCTGCAATGACTGCTAAACAATCATGTCCATTCATTTCTGCATAAAACTCATGAAACATCTCCACCAGAGGCTGTTGAACGTCAGACATAAGCAAAAAGAGTACAACAAATGAGCGCTTGGGGAGGATCTCATTGCAGATTAGTGACACAGCTTTTTTCATCTTTTTTTTCTTTGTTTTGATCCAATGTATTTCATCAATGGGACATTCGCCACCAGGAAAATTGTTTCTTCCGTTGCAATAGACCCAACTAACTCGTTCATGGAGCTTCAAGGAATCAATTAAATCTGAAGTTTCCAGTCGTTTGTTGTTTTCATAGTCATTAAGAAAATGTGGTGTTACAGCCTTCTGCTCCTTGTATTTGCCATACAGACCAGATGTTTCAGAATCAGGGTCAAAGTCAAACACACAAAAAAGATTCATGTTAACCAAGAAGGTTATGCTGTCAAGATACTCTGGCTGTATTTTGTTTGTCACTACAATGTAAAACAGAGAGTTGTCCATTTGTGTTTTCCCTCCTGTTAGAAGGATGGAGAGCTTTCTCTTTTGATCCTCTCTGGTTTCCACAGGTGTTTGGGTCGCTGAGGATTCTGCCTCCTCTCTTTGCTGGTCCTTCTCTCTCAGATCTTGAATAAAACGGATGAGTTCATCATCAGTTATCCGTGGCGTGTTTGCTCCCACTCTGTGATAGGGGATCTGGTCTTCACATTTCACTTTGCCATCTTTTTCAGAGAACTTGGGGACACCAACAGAGTATAGTTTATCTTTGACAATGCTGGCTTTTGGAACAATGTCATATTCAACAACCCATCTTTTCCCAACATTTTCCTTATCAAGGACCTCAATAAAACAAGGGTTTCTGATGCATTTCCTAGCATCACTTTGTTGATTTGACCCTTTAAAACATTTTTCTATGTAATCTAATGCTTCAACATAATCTTCTTGACTTTGGACAGGTATCCCTATGATCTCACCATGCTTGTGAGTAGATTTGACATTATCCATTACACCAAAATGAATGGTGCCATTGGCTCTCATATTCATACAAGCACAAGCAAATCTCAAGACTTCACTTGCCACTTTTGTTTTCAGTTTTCTTGACTCCAGTTTGTGAGCAAGTTCTAGTGACTTGTATTCATGACACGGATCAATCATGTTTTCCGGTCCTGTCTCTGGGGGAAGAAGATTATGCTTCACATATCTAAAGTTTGTTGGATGCTGGTCAAAAGTCCTATACTCACAAAAAGCCACACCAGTTTTTACAGAATCATTGCATGCATTAGAGCTATCTTTTTCCACTTCATGGTCAAAGGCTTCAGCTGAAACAAAGGGAATTACTTCTCTGTCATCACTCTTATTACTAACTGCAACAGTTTTTGTCTTTGTCTTGCACTGCTCTGTCTTTAATAGATCATCTCTTTTCTTGAGTAAATGTTCAATTTGGCCACTTTTCATTCCAATGGTTTTGTTGAGATAATTCCTCTGTAGTGTTGTAAGAACTGATCCAGTCACCTCTTCTTCTTTCATCTTTATTATATACTTTTCTTTTATTCCAATTGATTCCAACCAGGAGCTCACATGAGTTTCTGTCCAGGAGTTGAAAGGCAGTTGATGCCACTCTGCTGGGCAAAAATGTTTGAATACTGTGTTAAAATTCATATTTTCTATTTGTTTTGAATTAAAGATTAAATGCATTGTAAATACAAAACATAAGATAATTACATATTTCACATTTTATGCAATTATTTTGTAATTCGACAGATAAACACAACAGAAACATTATCAAAACTTGCATTATAAGAGTAATTTCCTTTACCATAATTACTATTTCACTTAAAAAAATTTCACTTAAAAATTTCGCTTAAATTTCACTTAAAAAAAATGAAATAATAATGAATATGTATCTACAATATTGGTAGCCAGAACTAAAGGGGACACATTTGTTTGGTGTCTGAAATCTTTCAGAAGTGTCTTGCAGAGAGCGTGCGGTGGCTGGGGA